ACTTCATTTCAATATACTTATTTTGAAATATACCTTTGATATATTATATTTTATAATATATATCTATACATAAATAGAGAAACATTAACGAGTGTTGCATTGAAATAATTAAAATGTCAAATGGATATAATCTAAACAAATGCATATTTAAATTAATAAATAAGTATTTAAGTTATTAAACTTGATACTAAGAATACTTACCGGAAGGATATAATCAAATTAAATTCAAACACCGGAAAAATATTTGCAGGAACACCAAATATATTTATGGTCTTGTATTTCATCAAAATAATGCATATAATATTTGTTCTGATAATATATTTATAATAGAGTACAAGGCTGATGTTCTTATATAAGGATTTCAGAAGCAGTTTTTTGGCATACATTATAGCCATGACTGTTTACAAAAGTGAAAACAATTATTGGCATTCAATAGGCACGGCAATTGGCACATCTTTGTCCCTTCCAGTTTTTAGACATTAACGTTGTCCGACGGAAACGAGACGGCGTAAAGGGTGTGATTTTGGCACGGACTGTAGGCACGCACAAGGCAGTGCCAAATCAGGCCTTGCACAGCATTGCGCCATGTGGCGTTTACTTTCCATCAGGAAAGGCACGACACTATCCGTGCCTAAAAATCCGTGCCTAATGCGCGATTTTTTTGTAGTGAATATAAAATATCCAAATACTAGTACTATTCTAATAAGCCATTCCAACTTTTTTAAATAATATTTTAAGTATTTTTTATTTATAGTACTCCCTCCGTTCCCCTAAGATGTTCTCATTTTGACTTTTGGTAATTTTTAAGGAGAGTTGAAAAAAAGTGAAAGTTTATCATAAACCCTTAATGAAAATGGATAAAGTGTAGTAAATGAGATGGGTGAGGTGTAATAAATAAAATAAGTGGGGATAGTTGTGGTATTTTAATTGTTAAAAAATGAATTTAGAAGATCTATTGTGAACAAAGAAAAAAGGCTATTGGGAAGATCTATGGAGGACGGAGGGAGTATTTGTTATAATGAACATATACTAGTATCACACCCGTGCGTTGCACGGGACATAGTTACGGTACTAACTTAAGATCATTTTTAGAAATATAAATTGTTATATAATGGAATATAGATATTTCATTATTTTAAAGTACAAAAGTAAAATGATTTACAAATTTCGAAAGACTTCTTTATAAACTACATCACTCGTATGTATAATTTGTGTGAGCATTCACTTCGTTGTATATCAGAATCTTCAAGCCATTGCGATTTATTACTCTTTAAACTGCAACATACACTTTCTCATGACTAAATACCAGTTTCCGTAACAATAATTTAATATGTTTCAGATATTGTTCTTGATAATAATTCAATAATTTGACTTATCTAAGTAATAATTCAACATATTAATGTATCTATTTTGGAATTTGTATTTTTTAATTTTATTTTCGTATTTAAGTGGTACCATTAACTTACCCTATTGTATTTATTTTCTATTTTATTTTAGATCACTTACCATTTTTACACGTATCCATGCTTGTAAATTATAGTATTAATAGTATTTATTTTAGAATACTTATATCATTGTTACATGTTTCCATGCTTATAATATTAATAGTATTAATTTATAATTTTTTGATTTTTGCATTTAAATGGTACCATTTTGTTTAATGTACCATATTTATTTTTTAATTTATTTTATAACAGTTACCATTTTTACACGTTACCATGCTTGTAAATTGTAGTATTAATTGATAGTATTATTTTGTAGTTTTCTATTTTATTTTTTTATTTAAATGGTATCATTTACTTACCGTACCGTATTTATTTTCTAATATATTTTAGAATACTTATCGTTTTAATAATTATTTTATTTTCTAATTTATTTAGAACACTTACCTAA